CCCCAGAGCCAGCCGCATCCCCGGCCCCACCGCGCCTCAGAGCCAGCCGCACCCCTGGTCCCGCTGCTCCCCAGAGCCAGCCGCACCCCAGGGCCCGCCTCCCAACTCTGAGCCCTGTATAACCAGCCCCCTCCGCCCGCCGCATCCTGGCACCGATGCCGGTATACACAGCTCCTAGAGCCCTGCCGCAGAGCCAGCCGCATCCGCACTCCAATATACACAGCCCCCAGCTCCCTGCCCCAGAGCCAGATGCATCCTTGCCCTGATGCTGGTACACACAGTGCCCGGCATCCCGTCCCAGAGCCAGCTGCATCTTGGCCCCAATATATACAGCCACCGGCTTCCCACCCCAGAGCCAGCCGCATTCTGGTCCCGATGCCAGTATACACAGTCCCCGGTGTCTCACCCCAGAGCCAGCCGCATCCCGATGCCAGTACACACAGCTTACGGCCCCAGAGACTACCTCACCCCAGTTGACCCCGGCCAGACTCTCCCAGCTGGGGCAGGGCCCAGGTCGCCCCCCAAACTCATCCTCCTGCCTGGCCAACCTCCCTGCCCCCTCCAGGGACTGCGCCCCTGCTGGGCTCCAGCTGCCACAGGCCCTGCTCAGCCCCCCAACCTCCACAGTTGCAGTGGGGCAGGTTAATTGGCCTGGTCTGACCCACATTGACCCACTCAGGGCTCGTGTGGGGCAAACACCCCATTGCAGGATCCCCATGTGTCCAGCCCCCGCCCCAGAGGGGTCCCCGGGTGCCCCACCCCAGAGGGGCCGCGTCTCACCTGTGCCGATCTCCCCGCAGGAGACAGCGACTCGACGGGCGTCATTGCGGGGTGCTGCTGGGGGCTGGCGCACGGGCTGGCCGGGGTCCCCGAGGGGAATCACCGACACCTGGAGTACCGGCACCGCATGGAGGCAGCCGCCGACCGGATCCACGCCCTGGCCTGGGGGGAGAGCGCCCCGTGAGCGGGGGGACCCCGCACTGCCCAGACACCTGGGTTCCTTCTTAACCCCACCACGCTGGCCTCCCACCCTGCACTCAACAGCCAACCCCGCCGCAGGCCAGGGCTGGATTTGGGGGGTCCCCCATTCCCCAGACACATGGGGGAGGGGCACCAAATTCCCATCCCCCCCCAGTGCACGCTCCTGGCCCCCCATGAGCCACGGGGCCCCACCTGCTAGCACCTCCTACTGCTGCATCCAGGACACCAGGTTTCCCAGGTCAGCGTCGCTGCTCCTGGCACCATCCTGCTCAATAAACCCGTCTCCTGCCTTCCCGTGCCGGCGGGGGTCATTTTGGGGGGGCCCGGGGCCCGTGCCAAGGAGCAGGCGTCCCCCGGGGGATGGGCGAGGCCAGGGTGCAGGGGAGGAGTGGCCAGAACCCAGGCGTCCTGCTCCCTGCAGCGCAGCACCCCCAGCACCCCACTGATCCCAGCACTGACTGCCAGGGAAGGGCCCCCCACAGCCCCCCACGCCGGCTGCCTGCTGTGCTGTCCCCTCCTGGCCCTGCTCTGCAATCCCAGAGGGCCACCTTCCCGCAGGCCTTGTGCCCCAGCTGGGGGGGGGGGGAAAGAGATCAGCCCCACGGGAACCCAGGCCCCCCT